AGAGGCCCCCGGGGGCACAAAGGGCTGACTGGAGAAAAAGGAGAAATTGGTAGCATGGGGGAAAAGGGAAGTGAAGGAATTCCCGGGAAAATTGGTCCACGAGGCTACAAAGGCTCTAAAGGAGAAACAGGAAGCAAAGGCGTAAATGGTGCGGGTATCCCTGGGTTCCCTGGCCCCAGGGGTCCCAAAGGATACAAAGGAGAAAGAGGAATCGGAACAAAGGGACAGAAAGGAGATGGAGCAAATTTTGACCCAAGACAGCTGGCCAACTGGAAACAGTGCGCATGGAATTCACCAACGGATACGGACAGCGGTAAAATAAAGGTGAGTAACCTTTATACCTGAGTTCGCAAACATTGGAGCTCCTCAGATGCGATTTAGCGGTTAGAAAACTTCAGTGCCTGAGTGAGTTGGGATTGAACCTATTGAGAAGCGTTTTAGTTAGTTGCCCACCAGAAGACACTAGAACTTGAACTTTAACTTAGTCAACAAGCTGACACCAGGACTGACACCTACACCACAAGATGAAGCGCATCGATCTAACTATAAATGACTTTGAGCCTGTAGTATCATTTTCTTCACATTATTCTTTTTTCCTTCTCGATCATCCGCAATTTTTAACTCGTTTAAAGTCACATATCGTTTTCGTAGTTAGCATGTTAGTAGGATGCAGTGTTCGTCCTCATGCTATTGATCTCCAACCGACATCTTTTACATAACTTTACCGGAGGTTAAGCAATTTTCACAAGTTTATCAATGAAGTTAATCAGTATCAGCCGTAAACATCTGCTTTTCTTAGTCTTCGTGTAAAGTAACCCAACATAATCGAAACCAAATCATTTTTAGGTACGCTGACCGATCATGACCTTTACTTAATGAATCAGTCAGTACAGACTGTACACACTGTAGTTGGAAGGAACTCCTTGCCTAGCCGCTGGGCAGGGAAGTCATGTCCAAAGGAGCGTCTTTACACCGTTATAAGACAGTTATTCCAACCACAACTTGAACCCCTTATGGCCACAGACGAAAAATTCTACCATTTCTTCACAAAAAGGTTTTTTTTTTCTTTTTATCTTTCCGAGTCAGTGTGTCCAGTACCTGACTAAGTTCTACTCGTATTACTTTTTAACTGGCCACATCGATGTTGTAGGAGCTGGTAATCGTGAGAAATTCAATTCAAATCTTCTTTTGTATTACACAGTTTTCTATGTAGTTTTGGTGTTGAGGCTGGAAGCTCTTAGTCTGAAAACATTCCTAACACGTTCCTAAAGTTGTGTCGTAATTTATCAATTCGGACATGACCAGAGTATGTTAGACTTTTGGACCACAGTTTTACATTTCTCCTACCTTCTATTTTACTTCTTACCAAAAAAAGAAAAAAAAGAGCCGTTCTTGACTGACCCTCAGCCTGGGTATCTTCTTAGCGCGTTCTTATAGAAAAGGTTCTTATAGCAAAAAGTCTAACATTACTTTGATAACAACAGGCTTCATAAATTATTTCCACTCCGCATTTTTTGCAGTGCTTATGACATTTTAGACGAGTTATTTCTTTCGGTGTGTTTCATGATTTTTTTTTCAGGAATGCTCTTTTAACAAACTGCACCAAAATACAGCCCTTAAAGTCTCATACCAAGGAAACATTCGTTTGCACAATTCCAATGTCAAATGCAAGAGATGGTATTTCAAGTTCAACGGCAATGAATGCAGCGGACCTTTGCCAATTGATTCAGTCCTCTTCACTTCTTCTTCTTATAGCTCAACGTCCAACATCCATCGTCCTCATTTCTTTGAAGGTTTCTGTGAGAATCTCCCACAAGAAACGATTCGCATTGAACTCTGGGTAGGCAAGTGCTCTGGTGGTTGGACACTGGGTAACGCTTACACAGGATGGAATTCAGTGTCCCGGATCATAATTCAAGAAGTACCACCAGCCCAGTAGTCCTGTCATCAAATCTGAATAGTCAGTGAGTTTATGGGGTGAACGTTACTACCTAAATTTCAGAGTAAATCAAAATCAAACCTAAGTTAGAAACTACACTTTCTAAACAGAATAACAAGGGGAAAGCTAAATTACTTAGAGTCGCAATGGTTAGATATGTGGAGAATCAAATTTGATTTTTGGCAATCAATGTCTCGTACTATTAATAAAGTATCAGAAAGAAAGACTCGTTTGAGATACTCTATTGGATATGCTCTATTTACGCTATCCTTGGGTTTCACCCACGTGACCAATACCTTAGCAACGGTTACTATCCGCCATCTTGGTGTCCCTCGAGCGTAAACAAACCGTATCTAACGAAGAGTTCATGTGAGAAAGAAGGGATGGTTTTATGCATTATTGTTGGCTGTTCGAGCAAAAGTGGAAAGCATAAAGACTATGGATTTTTTCGTATAATAATTTAATAATTTTATTATTTCTATAGCGCAAAATTCATTATATATATGATCTAATGCGCTATACCTAAGATCATCACAAATCAAGGGGAAGAACAGGAGGAACTAGAAGTTGTTGTATTGTTCGAGGCTTGCGGCTGTTGTAGATCCTCGATTTTTTGGTCGAGCTTTTCTTTGAGCTTCTTAGCCGATGAGAAATCGATGTCTTTAGCCCTCGCATACGGCACTTCATTGACCTATGTCGGCAAAATCCATGAGCATTTTACCTGAGTGCAAGTAAGCTTGGGGTGTCACGAAAACTCACACCCCGAAAACTCAGAC